TTTTTCCATGTAAACTCCTTGAAACTAGTGTTTTGTAGATCACATTCTCAGATACAGAGTTCTAGATAATTCCTCTCTAATAAAAGAGAAGAAAGAAAACAGATTTCTGCATTCACAGGTTTTCATATGTAGGCAGGTTCCAATTCTGTCCACACCAGCCTATTCCCAGGCCTGTTGGACTCTAGGGCATTCCAGTAGTAATGCCCTTCTCACCCAGATAAGATCTGGCCAGTTTAGTTTTTAAAAAATAAAACAAAACCAAAAAAAAGAAACAAATGGAGACCAAAGTCTCACCTTTATTGCCTATAAAGCTGGTGTTGAAGAATGTGGCTTCTGTCAGGGAGTAAATGGGGTTTCCTAATCTGAACCCCAGAATTAGATTGATCTCCATCCAGTTATAGAATATGCCAGTTTCCCCAGGTGGGAGGAGGGTCAGGGCAGACAGAAGCACGTGTTCTCTCATCCTCCCCAAGAGAAGGGGAAGGGGTGGAGGAAGAGGAAGAGCCACGTGCAGCCAAGTCCTCCCAAACCACCAGCCCAATGACTAGAGAGTGGAGGGAGGCTGGGGTGCATGTTACTAGTTTCCTCCACATGGAAGGAGGCCTGAGGAGTTAGGGCGCTCCCTCCGTCACTCACCACCCCCTCCCCAAAACAGAGCTCCTCTGGGTGATCCAAGCAGGCATCAGGGTTCCCCTCTCATCACTAGGGTCTCTCCTCTTCGCCCTCCCTTGTACCCAGTGCTCACTGTCTACCACCTTTTCTCCTCTCCCTCCACCCAGTTTACCCCGTAGAATGGAGTCATGTTGATACTGTCATGACTGTCCCTTTCTCATCTCCTTATATTATGTAATTCAGCTTTTTATTCTAGAAGAGGTAAAGTACATATACTCTCTAAAACTGGGATCTGAAAACTACAGCCTGACTCAACCTGTTTTTGTAAATGAAATTTTATTGGAACGCAGCCACACTTACTGGTTTGTATGTTGCCTGTGGCTGCTCTGGGCCACAATGGTAGGGTTGAGACTGTGACAGGGAACAGTATGGACCACATAGCCTAAACCTTTTACTATCTAGCCCCTTACGGAAAAAAGTTGCCAACCCCTAATCTAAAATACAGATGAATTTCACTTCAGTCCTTCAAGGTCTGAAAGAACTTCATTAGTACGAGCATATAGCCCTTTTTCATTCGTCACTCTAAATAGAAACTTCATTTTAAACCAAGAAAATTTCATAGCTGCAGTATAAGAGGGATTTTTAAAAAAAATAAATTCTTTAGTATAAGAGGGATTTTGTCTCTGGTAGAATTGTTTCCAGCCTTACAAACTTCTGGAAGAGTATCAAGGGGACTGTGCATTTGCTTTGAGGGACCAGAAGGAAGGACAGAGGCTTGCTCTGGTCGGGAGTATTTGGCATCATCAGTGGAAAGGGAAGAGAACAGATCATTCATGGGCCTATGGAAGAAAAGGGGAGTAGAGTGGTGTCTGGGGACCCTTGGGGTTGGACCAGCACAAGATCCTGCCTTTAGAGCTCCCTTTTGGAGCCCTGGGCTCTTCTTCCTGCCGTTCCCCAACTTAGGGGCTTGATTTCTCCCACTTCAGCCCCCGTCCACTAGAACCTTCCACCAGACCACACAGTCCCCAGAGAGGTCAGGAGACTGGGTTCTGCTCCCACTGTGACTGACTTCTATCTGGGAGTCCTTGGGTGAGTCACTGAATGCCTTTGCACTCAGGCTCACAGTAAACTCTGGGGGTGTTACTGAACAAAATTTCGTGTGCCGTATGCACAGTGAGGCCAAACAAACCAAAACGTCAGAGTCTAGAGCAGAGGAAGGTTTATTGCCGGGCCAAGCAAGGAGAACAGGTGGCTCATGCTCAAAATACCCGAACTCCCTGATGGTTTTTCAGAGAAAAGTTTTTGTAGGTAAAATTTGGGGAGGGGGCTGAGGGTTCTTCTGATTGATTGGTGGTGAGGAGACAGGGTGGTGCTCCAGGAATCTTGTCCTCAGCTTGAAGTTGCCATCCTCCACCTGGGTGGGGGGCCTTACGTCCTGCAGAAGAACTCAAACTTGTTGTTATGTTCCTCCCTGAGGAGGAACCAGGGCCCTGCCCCAAGGCTGCATGGTTGTTTCTTGACTGCTCCTCCCTCGTTTCTGCATTCTCTCTCTTCCCTGATTGGCAGCTGTTTGAATCTGCCCTTTGGAGCTCTGGGAAGGTCAGGGAGGCTGAATGAAGCCTATTTCCTACAAACAAGAAATGGGGGCACAGGAAGGATTTATACCAGGGAGGCCCCACAGGATCCTGCTCTGTTTCTGTCCCTCCTTGTCTTGGATACTCCTCTTGAGGAGAACAGGTGTTGGACAAGAAAGAGAATAATGTTGCAGGGGTGAGGTGGGGAAGTTGGGAGGATGTCTTGCTGAGCCATAGTGAGAACCAGACATGGTGTGGTAAAAAAGGCTTTATGAAATGTAAATACTGTGAAAATTTCTGCTGTTTTTCTTCTCCCTTTTAAACAGCTGACTTGTAAATGAAATTTTTGAATCTATACAGTACATAAATTAGCATTAACTGATGTTTGAAAACTAAAGTACCTTATGTCACATTGGCCACGTGCATCTTCATTTATTGTTAAAGTGCCGAACTTCCATGTGGGCTCTAAAAAGTTAGAAAAAAGAACTGAATTTTTACCATGATAAAATAAAATAATTCTTCACTGGGAGGAAAAACACTTCAAAAGTTACATTTCATTGTGACCTGTCCTTTCCTGTTTGTTGTTTCTGTAGCTTTCATTTTGTGCCTTTGTTTGCAGAGAGTAATCTCGCAGATGGCATTTTTCTTTGTAGTCACTTTTTGTCCTACCTGAGTCACCACCAGATACAGCATTTCAGTAAAGAGTGATTATACGGTTGCTCCCAGGCAGATGTGTTGTGTGATGTCAAGAACACTGGCTGATAAGCTTTCTGGTTATTTAAGCAGTATGGGGAAACGGAGAAAGTTTTGTTCAGATACACGCCTTGAAGTCAGAAATTGGCGAAGGAAGCACAGACGTTGTGCTGAATGATTTCAGCCAAGTACAGTGTTTGTATGGCTGTGGCATGGGCAGCAATCATGTTAAAAAGTCAGAAAATCTTCCTGGAGTAAATGACCTTTCATACTGGGTTATTTCATGATGAGCCTCAGCCATGTGAGTACTAAACACACCTTGACCTTGATATACAGAGACTTGCATTACCTTGGCTGCTTGTGCTGCCGGGGCCTCATCGCCTTTAACCAAGCAAACTAAACTCTTTGTGCGTTAGTTTTGCCGCCTGTGAGCTGGGGGTTGATCAGGTAATCCCTCACTTTGAGAGAGAAGGAACATTTCTAAAGATAAGATTTCCTGATGTGCAAATAAATGGTCAGTTTAAACAATCACTTAAAAATCAATCAAAATAATGATTTGACATCCTAGGTCACAAAAGAAGGTTGATGTATCTTTCACTTAACAACTATTAACTTTATTATCTTACAGGCATAACTTAAAAGTTCCTAATGCTTTTGTTTCCATATGTTTTTTTTAAATCATTAGCTATTTTTAAACTCAAATAAATTATGCCACCATTACAGATGAGTAGTAACAATACATCATAATGGTATTTAATAAATTTGCCTTCTAATTTCCACAAATAAATTTTAGAAGAAAGACACTAACTATATGCTCAAATAAAGCTTTTACTTCATTCCATTTAGTATTATTTTGTCAGCCTTGCAGACTAAGAATGTATAAGGAGAAGTTCACTAATTTCTTGAGCTAGTATTTCTGGAACACCTACTATGTGCTGCCCAGCAGTAATGCTGCTCTGCCTAGCTGAAAACAAAGCTTATAGGCTGGAGTAGGAATAATGTGCTTGGATTTTGAACGTATGGGGGATTTACCTTAAGTAAATAAACGACTAATTTCATTCTTGTTTTACGGTTTTAGAATTCAGCAGAATTTTGTTTAGTTCTTTAAAATTTTCACAGGGTCCTTTCTCGATGATAGCTGTTGGTCCGTTGGTAAACTAAACGTTTGTGTTTCACTGTGGAAAAGTTAAGCCCAGCCCAGACTTTCATACTTTGCTACCTCCAATCAAGACTGTGACCTTCCTTATATTAACAAATTCCTAACCTTTAATGTCAGACAAATCATCATCATGAATTTTGTAATCTACACTGTTGTGGACATTTCTGAGTTGGATTAATCTTATGGGAAGAGCAGTTTACATATTACGAAATTAACCTCTCATTATGCTTTAAAGAAGTAGGCTAGTTGTTTTTTTTAACCTATCATGTTTTAATCACAGATCATCCGTGTTAGTTAATAAATTAAAACAGGCCATTACTAAATTAAATTATGCTTGTGTTTGTGTCTGCCCTGTGTCCTTAGAGCCAGCCTAGTCACCAACTTTGTTTAGTAATATAACCCACTCAGATGTCAGCTTTAGGAATCAGATTATTAACTAAATGCTAATTGATGAATTTTTCATTGTTCTTTCCTGTTGTAAAAATTGTTTCACATTTGGCTAATAATTACATACATCGATATCTACTCTGAGGCAAATCCAGAGAGACACAAATACTTTCAAAGAGTAAATCTTATAAAAAACAGATTTGGAGGACAGTTATTTATATTATAAAGACTTGTAATTTGAAAATAATTTGCTCTATCTTCTTTAAGTTATAAGCTTTCCTAGTTTATTTGAATTATGACTTGATTGACAAAATATAAATTCACTTGATTTTTCCAGGGTAAACCTACAAAAAGCAAGATACATGTCTGGTTTAGATTGTATGTCTGTGTATTTATGGATGATTTCTGTGACCACTATAAAATTAGTGTTCTTAAATATTAATGTATTTACTTTGTAACAAAGGAAATAGTAGTTGTTTGCATCATTTGAAATATACAGTAACAAAAGAGTAAGTAGCAGACAATTTGTCCTCAGTGGTATGATAAAGTTTTTCTTATTTTCCTTTTCTTCATAGGAGATACAGCACACGAACAAAGAGTGGCAGCAAAAGGCAAAACTTCAGACGTAGAAGGCAACCAGCCTTTGGAGGTAAGTGCATTTGTTTTTTCATAATGCACGCCACGAATACTTACTAAGTACTGACTGTATTCAATGCGTTGTGCAAGGGGCTGAGTATATCGTGTGAAAAAACAAACAAAAGGACAAAGAAAAATGCCTGGTAAGTGAAACTCAGTGAGTCCTTTTGGGGTAAAACTGAACAAATCACTGTGACTATACATTCCTCTGAGGGTGAAGAGTAACTTCCACTCTTGCTGTGCAGAAGGTGCCAGGGTTCCAGGAAAACGGGTGATCTGCCCCAAGTCAGGCAACGGCAGTGCAGGGCTGACTTCCCAAGTGCTGTGTTTCTCCCAGTGCTGGGAATGGACACTGTTGGAAAAGGAGGAATAGAGCACTTAAGTTAAAACATCTGAAGTATTTTTAATTGAGTGATTATTTCCTAATATACCTGAATAAATAGGTAAGAAACGAACCTATAGAGAAAGGTTTGAAAATGACCTGTTCAGGACTGTAGTACATTAGCATTTCCACCGTCAGAGTCCACGCCTTGTCATCGTTTGGTAGAAAGACTAGAGCTTTTGTTCTTTTCCACATGAGAAAATTATTTGCTCCTTGTAGATCCTTGAAAGTGCAGTTCACATACTTTCATATTCTACTCAGAAACATACTAACCTTATTTAATCCCTGAAATAATCATTTCTAAGGGTTAGGGGGAATGTGAACTATTAGGGTGGAAGAGATACCCGTGAATTTTGAAACTTCCTCCTTGGTGACACACCTCTACTTATAGTCCGCTTGTAGCAAGTGAGGGCATTGCATACAGCTGGAGTGAGGTCAGGGAGCCTGGCCTGTTTATTACCGTATCCACAAAGCCTAGCACAGAACAGGTAGTCAAAAATACTTGCTGAATGAATGAATACAATCATGAGTTGTAAGTAGAGAGTAATATTTATCTTAAGAAGAAAAGAAAAATGCCTTGTCGACATGTTGAAGCATCTTGATCTCTCTTATTTATTCAAATATTTAGTGAGTACTGAACATAAGTAGCCTCTTGATAGGAAATAAAGGTTGATGTCTTTGAACTTTGCCAAAGAACCACCACGTTGGTTCAGAAATCATCCACGATTACGTGAGTTTAACTGCTTAGCTATGCGATTCAGTGGAAATGTCTGTGGAACTCAATTATTTTTCAAAGTTGACTCACTGATAGAAAGAATTCCAAGATTAAGTTTTAAGGAAAAGGCTTTTGATAATAGATCCTCTGAGATTTGAAACAAGCTCATGATTGTGCTACTTCCTGGTCTCTCCAGTGTACAGTCAATTCTTAACCATTAAGATGGGATATATATACTCATGATACAACAGGTAAAAGTGCCTTCTGTCTGAATAGTTGCTGGGCACTGGGAAGCCAGCAATTGCTCTCAGAGTGCTTACTGATGTAGCAAAAAAGAAATAGGGAGACTACAAATGAGGTGACAGGGTTAAGTCACAGTACAAGACAATAGTACTTGCACACTTTTAGAGTCTAGTGTGATTCACCACAGAAGAGCCCACTTATCCCCACCCGAAGCATCCAAAATGGAATTTATTATTCTTCTGTTTTAAAAATCCCCAAAATGCAAAAGGACTGCTGCGTGTTTCCTCCATAATCTACCTTGAAAGGTGAGTCTTACCCAGTTCAAAATTCTTTGAAGGGTCTGATGACTCCCATAGTCACTCCCATATGTCCACTTGGACCTCTCTCCTGATGAGCTCTAGACTATATCCAGCTGCCTACCTGCCATTTCACTTACAAATTTCTAGACAGTTCAGCCTTTACTTGACCAAAGAAGAACTGTTGGTTCCTGGCCCCACCACCATGAAGCTTCTCTCTGCTCAAGTTTTCACCATCTCTGTATAATAGCACCACCCCCTGTACAGTGGTTTGCTGGAATCAAGCCCCCAAGACACCTGTGGCTCCTTTCTTTCCCTCACACTCCACATGCAGTTCCACCAGGAAGTCCTGTTCCCTCTCCCTCTAGATCCAGAGTCTGACCCCTTCTCAACATGGGCACTGTTCCAACTGCTTTCACCAGGACTCCCTGCCTCCATTCTTCCCCCGTAAGTCCATTCTCCTCACAGCAGACAAAAATAGGAAGCCGATCACATCACGCCTTGGCTTAAAACCCACTGGCTGCCCATTCTGACTGGAGTCAGTGCTAAGCCCTTCCAGTGGGCTACAAGGAGCAACCCGTGCTCTCCAACCCCATTTCGCTCCCTACCCCAAACCCCATCCCTTTCCACAAGCTGCCTTTCTGTTCCTTGATCCTGTGAAGCTCTTTCTCATCTCAGCCTTCGTATTTGCTGCCCCTTCTTTGCCGGAGCCTCCCTTGCCTGCCTGCTTGTCATTTAGGTCTTAGTTCCAGTGTCACTCTTTGCGACGACCTCAGCTAAAGTGTCTCTTCCCCCAGTCACTCTAACGTGACACTGTTTCTCCATCAAATCTATCATCACTCTCTCAGATTTTTCACTTGCTGCCTGCCTGCCCGGCCTGACTAGAGTGAAAACAGACCTCGTGGGCCTAGAATAGAGTCTGGAACTTAGAAGGTGCTCAGTAAACACCTGTTCACCGATAACCTAGAGTCACCGAATGTCCTCGTCGGTCTTGGCAAATTAAAGGCCTGAAAATGTCATTTGACTTACTCTTCTCACCTCACTTTACCAAGTCTATCGTCAGGTTCTGTTGATTCTACCTCACAGATATCTTCCAGATCTGGTTCCTCATTCTCCAGTGAGGTCCTCATCTGTCCACTAGACTCTCAGTAGAGGAGTAGCTTCTTCCCCAAATCCCTTTCAGGGAAAGAAAGCAGGTTTTGTTACTTCAGGCCGCCAAATGCCTTGAAACGCACAGAATAAAGCTTAAAACCAAAACCCTGTTCAAAAGACACCTCTACTGTGAACTCTTCCCCGGCTCACCCAGCCGGAGATAAACGCAGTGTCCTTTTACTACTTGTGTTGTCTTTTATGGCTTCACTATAGCTGTGAGTTCCCGAACGGTGGAGGCTACACCTTAACTAGTTTTACAGCCTCAGCTACTCACATGCTATCAGACAGATGGGGCGACACAGATGCCCAGTCTATGGTTTCTAGATGGGTACTTCAATAATAAGTGGTCTTCTGCAGATGCTGTCTTAGGGGTAAATTTCTTCATTATTATTAAATTCTAGTTTTGACCTTATAAACACACAGTTACTTTTTCCTTCTGCTCTGTAAGAAAAGTTTTCTTATATTTCTTAGAAGTTACCCATAAAAAATTGTTAATTTAGATTATTTGGCACTCGTATTACATTAGCAAGACAAAGTGTAATGATTTCAGTTAGAATTAAAAGTTGTAACTATTGTACCTAGCAGGAAAGATTCTCATTATTTTCATTTTTCAGGGCTATAGAAGAAATGTTGAAATATTATTTATCATGAAAACATATTTGGTAACTTAGTATGGGTTCCATAGAGCTTAAAAATAATACTCTTGGTTGCCAAAATAGAACTCATATTTCTAAGGACCCTTTGGAGAAGGTGGCTTTTAGTATCCCTAGATAAGTTTTTTGGTGAATTAAGACAAACATATAGATTGCCTACTCTTTTCAAGGAATTGTTGGACATAGAATGAAGAGGATCTAAAGATATATAAGACTCCATGATTCTAATTTAGAGAAGCTGACATTCCCAATCTATTTGTGAAAATTAGAAAACTCCACAAGTCACTATAATATGAACTGGAATAAGTAAGTTCCTTAAGCACCATACCTATAGCTGAGGTTTCAGTGGAGGAAGAAGTAACATCAGGGAGAATCAAGAAAGGCTTCATGTATTAGGTGAGCTTTGAATCATGAAAAATGTTTTCTTACCATTTATACAATTAATTTTATGTGATTAATATAAATTCCTGTGACATGAAATCCTTCATTAAGAATATTTGAGCTATATAGAAGCAGACCATGGAATGAGACTGCTTTCCACACATGAATCTCAATGGTAGATAATAAAATGTTAAAAAAAAAATAGAACTTGGCCCGGGAGACACTGCAGTTTTAATGGCAGTTAAAATACTTCATTAAGTGGCCTGTGGTATTTCCCCCTTACACTTTATAGCCCAAGTATACTTCAAAACTGTGTTCCCTCTCCAAGTACAGTTCTCTCACCAACATCATGGAAATTCTAACATCTAGGTAGAATATGATTTGAAAACAGGAGATCTGATTTGGGCATCAAATAAGTTAATGTTTACAAAGTTGGATTATGACCTATTTTAATGCCTAAAAGACTCTATGAAAAGCAGCATATTTATTTGCATTATATAATTAATGGGACTTTTTACTTCATGAAACTGAAAAAAATATAACATTCCTGCCAGGAAATCATGATTTCTCAGTAATTTCTTTGTCTCTTCCTCACTCCCCCTTCCGAAATATTTTAGGATTTTTCTCAGTGGTGACATCAGTTAGTTACCGCTGTTGTACTTTAGTGTTCCCTATATATGACCCCAAAGTATCATCACGTAAATTAGGGTAACTTAAAGAAGCATTGAATTATCTAGGCTTCTAATGTGGGTTCTCCTAGGTTGTGCTTTAGTCTGTGTTTTAAGAGCCATTGGTAACTTTTAACAAAATTCACCGTGTTTTGATGTGTAGTGTATAAGCTCCTATAAACCCATGTTTATAGGACAAAGGCTTATTAAAATTAAACTCACTAGACTCTAGTTCTTGGGGGAAGAGTGATAATTTGGAGCCAAATATCCAATAGGAAGATTATCTACCTCCCTCTGTTCCTTTTCTTCTTGTTGCTTTTCAGGGTAAATTTTGGTAGTGTGTTGTAATGACATTACAGCTACTTACAGCCTTCTGCTGTCTAGGAGACTGGTTACTTACAGCTCAGGGGGATAAACACACAGATTAATCGGGGGCCAGGCTTTAAATTTTTGTCATTTTGACTCGTCTCTTCAGGAAATAAACATTACACATAAGTCAGCAATTAGTCGTTCTTTTCTAATC